TTTGTGCGTGTGGCCCAGGGGGCAGCGGATGCCGGCTGGGAACTGCGTCAGTCTTCGAGGAACCTCCAGGCCCCATCCCAGGGGCTGAGCCCAGGAGCCGCTCTGCCTGCCCTAGGCCTCTTTCTCGCCTTGATCGAAGAACAGGCTGGGCAGGGAAGTGGCCAGGCTGGCGTAACCCCTGTGATGCCAGCCTGGACGAGAGCCTCACGGAAGTCTGGAGCCCGGCCTGCGATCAAGTCAGACCCGGCTCCAGAAAGTGCCACTTGGGTGGGGTGGGCATTCTGGTCCCCACTTGAGAGGGCCACTCACATTTAGCCTATGGGAGGGGGACTGATCCCTGAAGCCTGGGCCAGACAGAGCCCTCCTGCTGTTCCTGTTCCTGTAGAAATACGCCAGAAACACCAATTCCTATCCAGAGCCCAGACCGGAGGCTCCAGGGTGAAACTCAGTTGCTTTCATTATCATCCTCTCTACCCCGATGCCCCCAGCCCCATGTCCTCCTGACTCACTTATTCATTCAACAAATGTTTAATGCTAAGAACATGGAAAGACAGTTACCAAAAAGGGCCAGAGTCCCAGTCCTCATGGAGACTACAATCTTCTGATAAAGTTCTACCATCCTCTGAGGCTCAACCAAACACCACCTCCTCCAGGAAGCCCTCCTAGCTGTTCTGCGAGTTTCCCTCTCTGGCTTTGTCAATCCCTTTCTCTCTGGGCTCATGACACATATCCTTTAGCCTTAGGATGGCCTCATGTGACCTGGACTCTGCCTCCTTGAAACTAGCATACAGATGGGCCTCAGTAAGTGGCAGTCGCTGCCACCATCAGCACCCCCGCATCCCTCCATCATCAAGGAGGTACAAGATTCCTAGGGTCCTGTGAACCTCCCGCCTGGCTCCCTGGCCTCCGACAGGCCACACCCCAATGTTACCAGCACATATGATGGTGGGCCTGTCTTTAAGAAAACTTGGCATCTAAAAATCCCAACCACCAAAGCTCACAGGTAGGGCCCACTTGACCTTTGTGAAAAACCTCCTTAGTGTCTGCAGCGTCTGGGTCTCATGGGAATACTGCACCCTGCAGAGCTCTAAAGGTGACGGTGACTCACACCTGTAATCCCAGCACTTTGCAAGGCCAAGGTGGTGAATGATCTGAGGTCAGGAGTTCAAGACCAGCCTGGCCAACATGACGAAACCCCGTCTGTACTAACAGTACAAAATATTAGCCAGGTGTAGTGGCGCGTGCCTGTAATCCCAGCTACTTGGGAGGCTGAGGCAGGAGAATCGCTTAGAACCTGGGAGGCGGAGGTTGCCATGAGCCAAGATCGCGCCACTGCACTTCAGCCTGGATGACAAGAGCAAGACTCCGTCTCAGAAAAATACAAAAGAAATAAAAGAGCTGGCTGTCGTCAGTCCCCAAGTGCCCTGAGGTCATGGCTGTGACTGCACTTGCCACCCCAAGCTGTTCTACTCTGAGCTGGTTCCTGTAAGAGCGGTTCAGGTCCTGCCCCTGTGGGTGGGGTGGTGGAGTTCTGATGCCCCTCAAACGCATCCTGTCCTTGGACCTTCCCCTTGCCCCTCTTTGTCTCCTAGGAAGAGGCAGGCACCTCCCAGGAATCCTATGTTGCCTGTTCGCAGGACCGGCTTCTGGCAGGGCCGTGGAGTCCAGGCACAGCTGGGAGGAAGATGTGCGAGGTGGATGGACGGCAGCACTCGGCTGGCAGGACAGTTGGTTCCTGTGTCCTTGCCAGGCCTTGCAAGCAAAGCCCCAGGCAGGAGCGTGAGGCTGGACCCCGGCCCAGCAGCCCTGTGATCCTGCCAGACCTCAAGCTCAGTTCTGGGGAAAGGGAGAATCTGTAAACAACAGAGGGACGGAGCCTGGCCTGAGACCTCCTGACCTTCCCAGGAGTGGGGACGGAGGTCACGAGCAAAGCTAGCTCAGCTGCATGGCCGGGACTCAGGGAAACTCCCAGAGCCTCCAACGAGCTTCCCCGCCCAAGAAGGGGACTGGCAGTGGCCCTGTGGCCAGGCAGCGGAGGCGGTCGCTTCACCCCTGGGCCTGATCCTGGTCCAGGAGGCCATCTTTGGTGGAAAATAAACCTGTCAGGAGCCGAAGACAGGGCAGCGCCTTCCCTTCCCAGGCCCACAGGCCAGGCAAACATCTTCCGTTTTGGGTGGCTCTGCTCTCTCCCAGCACACTCCCCTCTGTGCCTCAGTGGCCAGGGGCGGACTCATTCAAACTCACCCTGGCCCCAAGCACCCTGGGGGGCATTCGGCTTCCTGGCACCCCCTTGGACATCACCTCAGAAGCTGAGACTTGTGTCTATTGAACACCCCAGCGTTCGCCAGGTGCAGTGGCTCCCACCTGTAATCCCAGCACTTTGGGAGGCTGAAGCGAAAGGATCGCTTGAGTCCAGAAGTTTGAGACCAGCTTGGGCAACATAGGGAGATCCTGTCTCTACAAATAAATAAATGAGAAATTAGCTGGGTGCCGTGGTGTGTGCCTGTGGTCCCAGCTCCTTGGGAGGCTGAGGTGGGAGGATGGCTTGAGCCTGGGAGGTCGAGGCTGCAGTGAGCCGTGACTGTGCCACTGTACTCCAGACTGGGCGACAAAGCGACTCTGTCTCAGAAAAACAAACAAACAAAAATCTCCGCAGAACAGGGGAGGGGCCTGTCCCTTGGAAGGAGCTGAGGACGGGAAGGAGGGCAGCTAAGGCTTCCAGTCCACAGCCAGAGGCGGGATCGGCGGCAGACGTGGCCTTAGTGAAGCTCAGGTCCTCCCTTTGAGATCTCAGGGGAGCCGACAGCTGCCGCCCCCCATGCCTGCCCGACCCCCTCTCCCCACGCCAGCCACCCGCACACAGCAGTCAGGGCAAGCTCTCAAAAGCCAAGAGCAGCCGCACTGCACGCCGAAGGCTCCCACAGCTCCCGCACACCCGAGGTGGCTGCCCCGCGCCTCTGGGAGCCCAGCTGCAGCCACACTGCACGGGTCACACGGGTTCCTTTCCTGCCTTTGTGCTGGCTGTTGTTCCTTCTGCTGAAATGTCCTCTCCCCACCCGGCAGACGTCACACACTCATTCTCAGCCCACCCCCATCACAGCAAGCTGCATCCCGGCTTCTGTGCCAGGGTCTCCCCCACCATGCGGTGTGGGCCCCAGAGCCAGGACCTTGTTCATTTCCCTCCCAGCGGTGTCCCCAGCAGCTGGCACGGCCTAGCCGGGGCGGGAGCAAGGCTGCAGGATGGGGGGTCTGCAAAGGTCCTGGGCCACCCCCAGCCATGGGTCCTTATAGGTCGTAACACCTTGGAGCTCTGTCCCAGCCTTGTAGGGCTAAGGGCCAAGAAGCACCTACTCAGCCCCAGACCCCAGGGGCTGCCGCTATGCCGTGAAGAGGATGCCACTGCACTCAGTAAGCCTGGGGTCCTGTGAGCGGACCCCCTTGGCAGGCTGGTGTGGCCAGGCTCAGCTGCCTGTGGTCCCTTCTCCCATCCCAGTGAACGCTGCCTTTTAGGATCTGAGGGTTTCTGGGCAGAGGAGTGGGCTGTGAGAAGCGGCGAGGAATGGCAGCCAGCACACCTTGCCCTGGCTTCACTCCCGGGGTGCAGGGATGGGGTTGCCCAGCCTGGGCTTCAGAGAGGGCACTAGATCTGTCCAGGAAGTCACCCTCAGCCCCATGAACTGCCTTACCCTGCGCCCTCTGCCCAGGCAGAACCAGCCTAAACCAGTTAGTGTGGTTCAGGGAGGCCAAGGGAGAGAAAGGGCCTATAAACAAATAGGTCCTTCCTGGAAGGCCACTGGGCCTCACACACTGGTCTCTCTGCTGAGCACGGCAGGTCACAGGCGCTTCAATACCAACCCCTCGGCCAGGCACAGTGGCTCACACCTGTAATCCCGGCACTTTGAGAGTCCAAGGCAGGTGAATCACCTGAGGTCAGGAGTTCAAGACCAGCCTGGCCGACATGGTGAAACCTTGTCTCTACTAAAAATACAAAAGTTAGCGGGGCATGGTGGCACATGCCTGTAATCCCAGTGACTTGGGAGGCTGAGGCAGGAGGATCACTTGAACTCGGGAGGCAGAGATTGCCATAAGCCGAGACTGTGTTACTGCATTCCAGCCTTGGTGACAGAGGGAGATTCTGTGTAAAAAAAAAAAAAAAAAAAAAAAAAAAATACTGACTCCTACCACCTCCCTTGCAGGGAGCACACAGGCCACCAGCAGGCCTTGTCACCTCAAGGATGGTCAGTGGGTGGTGGTGGCATGCAGGCCCTGGGAGCTGGGCCTTGATCTGCCGAATCAGAATCTGCACCCTCCAGGGTTCTGTCTGCCCGTGACCCTTGGAGAACTGGCCCCAGGAGGACAGTGCTAGCCGGGGAGAGGATAGGCTGGTGAGGTTTCAGACGCTGTGCTGCGTGAGCAGGGGGCTCCTAGCCCCACAGTCAAAACTTCCAGCTGACAGCAACCCCAGTCTATGCCCCAGTTAGGCCAAGGTCAACTAGGGGCTGGGAAAGACTAGTGCAGAAGCGCCCACGGGAAACTGTTAAAGGACCCCCAGCTCCATGGCCAGCGTGGGACCAGGTGTCGAGAGGCCAGCCTCGAGCCCCAGGCCCCAGGCACACTCACTCTGAGCAGGGTTGGTGCACCTGGAGCCCAGTTTCCCACTCCACAGCACCAGCCCCAGAGCCAGGCAAGACTACAGGGCGGAGCTGTCAGCCTGGGAGGCCCAGCAGAGCCACACAAATGGCTGTTTGTGTCCTCAGTTCCTTCCACTGAGATCCCCCACACCAAAGTGACTAGGGCCGCAGGCGCCGGGCCATGGTCACAGCACCCAGGCAGACCTGTGACCTGGGGGGCCCAGCCAAGGCTCGGCATGAGCGTCTGTCTCCAATGGGCAGCCAGCATACCCGGGAACGCCCAGTGTGGGGGACAGTGGTAGATTTTTGCCACCTAGAATGTTCACAACCACAGACAGAGCCATGTCTGATGCAAGGACACGCCTGGGCTTTGCAACCATCTGAGTCCATAAACTTTCTTTTTTATTATTAAGTGTGGGCGGGGTTCTGTTCTTGCAACTGAGTCCTAACAGAAAACACGGGATTCACTGGCCAAGGGGAGAGCTGAGGACGGGACAACAAGGCACGAGACACCTGGACACCTGGAGAGAAGTGACGCAGGCCGGAGTCCTCACCCGGCTGCTCTGGACCTCCGGGAGCTCAGGCTGCAGTCCCTGGACCTGGTGACACCCACAGCACGGCAGTCTCTGGCTGTGCTTTGGGGAGCTCACATGTCTGGCAGGCCTGGGCTTCCCGGAAGCCTCCCCCGACTCAGGCTCTTCAGTGGGGTGTGCTTGTCGTGGTGGAGGTGGCTTCTGTGGCTCAAGGCTACACTCCTGTCCTGTCTTCCCTCTGCGCTCCGAACCCCACTCTGGTCCCTAGATGCCTAGGGACCTGGGATTGTGCAGCTCAAGAGGCTGTCTGGAGCTGCTGCTGCAGCCTGCAGAGCTGGGAAGTGGCCTTTGCTCCCAAGAGTTCTGGGTGCTCTGGGGCTTTCTGAACGGAAAGGCATTACCTGCAGTGGAGCCAGAAAGACATGGTGTCCAGAAAAAAGGCACTGGGAGTCCAGAAAGCGCCACTCCCCACGGCTGTGCCTGCTCAGAGTCCTGGGCGGTGGAGCTGGCCCAGGGACAGACTCTCTGCAGGCCGGGGGTCAGCTGTGGAAGGCAGACCAGGCCACACCGGAGCTGTAGAACTCCACGCGACTGGACCAGTCACCGTCCCCGCTGCCCTCCTTGTCCTCGTCAGAGTCATCGTCGTCTCCGCTGGACGCTCCGCAGATGGCCCGGGCCAGGTGGGCCGGCTGCCCCGGGGACCCCGCGCCCTGCTCCTCTGCCTCCTCCTGCCGCTGCTGGGCGGCCAGCTCGCGGTAGCAGAGGCTGCAGACGCGCACAGGCTTGGGGGACAGGCGCGGGAGCAGGAAGCGCTGGCGCGAGCACTCGGCACACACCACGAAGCCGCACTTGCGGCAGTGGTGGCGCCGCGTGAGGGCGGAGAAGCGCGTCTGCGTGCAGCGCATGCAGATGTCCGTGGCCTTGTCGGGGATCCAGGGCGCCGCGTGCTCTGTGCTGGGCGAGCGGCCCGTGGCCCGCAGCTGCCGCCGCACGCACTCCTCGATGTGGCTGATCCACTCCTGGCGCTCCGTGGCGGAGGCGGCCGACACCACAAAGGACTTCTTGGCCGTCTTGATCATCCAGCGGTTCTTGGCCTGCAGCGTCTCGGGCAGCAGCTCCAGCGTCACCTCCTCCAGGGGGATGATGTGCTGGCTGCGGTACTTCCGCTTGTTGAGCACGATGCTGCCGTACACCAGGATGTCATTGAAGAGGAAGAAGATCCGCGGCTTGGCCTTCTTGCGGCACTCCTTGGTCAGCACGCCCTCGCCCAGCAGCACCCGGCCCAGCAGTGCCAGCGGCTGCCCCGAGGCCCCGAAGCAGCTCTCCACAGCTGCGATGCGCTGGCTGTTGATCTCCGTGTTGGCCAAGTGGTCCACCATCGTCTCCAGCCCGCTGCAGGAGGAAACAGACAAGGAGCACGTCCAGGCAGGCGTGGGGGCTGCCCACCCCCAACTCACTAACCCGCCACACCAGATGGCCCACTGACTACCCATGGTGCCCTGCAGGCCTGCCCAGCACTGACAGGCATCACCCCGGAAGCCGGCACTTAGACTGAGCACAGGGAACTTCAGGAAGGGAAGGGGGATTCCTCAGTCCAGGACACGTGGAGGCCAGAGGCTGGGAGCACCAGCTCACACCTGTGGTTCTAGCACCTTGGGAGGCCGAAGCAGGAGGAGGCCTCCTCAGCCCAGGAGTTTGAGGCTGCAGTGAGCTATGATCACGCCACTACACTCCAGCTAGGTGACTGAGTGGACTCTATCACTTCAGAAAAACAAAGTGCTACTGAGCAGGTGACCACTATGGGCAGCGAAGTTCAGCCCCACTGGGGAGCCTTGAAAAACAGGGTGGAACAGGCCTGGATGGGACATCAGAACAGTCCTTGCCAGGAGACTTGGGTCTCCACCCCCAACCCATCCCTGACTCTGCCATCCACCAAACCAAGCCGTCACAGGTCCTGCAACCCATGTACCCACCCAGTGAGTGCAGCAGTCACCACCAACATCACAGACACGGGCCCCGAGTGCTTCCTGTCAGCCAAGCGTGACTATCTGACTTAGTTCCCGCCCGACCCCAGGATACAGAATCCCCGCTTTACAGGAGGGGAACTGAGGCAATGCTAGGAGGGAGGGGCCCTGGAGTCCGTATTATGCTGCCCTACTGCATGGAGTGTGAGGCACACAGACCCCTCTGTTAGTGCCCTAAGCACTAAGCACTAACTCAGAGCTCATGCCAAGCACCCCCTGCTCGATCCACACACACACCAGCCCACTAGACTCACAACCTTGAAGACCCCCTCAATGCCACAGCCTTCCCAGTCCAAGCCTCCAGTCCTGGCCTCTCCAAGCTCTAGGAGGGCTCTCAGCATAGATGTTTACCTGCTTGTCTAATAAGCTCCTTAAACGCAACACATCCAACACCAAGCCCAGTCCCCGCAGACCTGCGCCTCTTCCTCTCCTTCAGTAACACCACCATTCACCCAGGAGTTCAAACCTCAGATCTAGGACGCATCCTTGAACCTCCCCGTCCTTGTACCTCCAACATTCAAGCCATGAGCAAATCTCATCATCATTACCTCTCCACTCTAGCCTGCCCGCTTCTCAGCACACGGCTCTGCCACCGTATCAATGACAAGGTGCCCCTGTGTCCCACCTGAGACAGGCTGTCCCAGGGTCGGCTCCCTCCTGCAATGGGTTCTCAGTTCCCGTCTGCCTTCCAGAAGGGTTCTCCTTGACAGCCCCTGCTCAGGCAGCCTCTCCCCACACCCAGGACAGGCATTGACAATCTACGGTCTGAGAGTCAAATCCGGCCCTCAGCCTGCTTTTGCAAAGATTTATGGGCCAGGCACAGTGGCTCATGCCTGTAATCCCAGCACTTTGGGAAGCGGAGGCAGGTGGATCACAAGGTCAGAAGTTCAAGACCAGCCTGGCCAAGATGGTGAAACCCTGTCTCTACTAAAACTACAAAAATTAGCCGGGCACGGTGGCAGGCGCCTGTAATCCCAGCTAATCGGGAGGCTGAGGCAGGAGAAGTGCTTGAACCTGGGAGGCAGAGGTTGCAGTGAGCTGGGATCATGCCACTGCACCCCAGCCTGGGCAATAAAGTGAGACTCCATCTCACACACACACACACACACACACAAAAGATTTATGGGGACACAGCCACATTCATTAATTATTGTCTCTGGTGGCTTCCACACTGCAATGGCAGAGTGGCATGTTCAGGTGTCCCCAAACTACGGCCCGCGGGCCGCATACGGCCCCCTGAGGCCATTTATCCGGCCCCCCGCTGCACTTCAGGAAGGGGCACCTCTTTCATTGGTGGTCAGTGAGAGGCGCACAGTACGTGGTGGCCCTCCAGCGGTCTGAGGGACAGTGAACTGGCCCCCTGTGTAAAAAGTTTGGGGACACCTGGGCATGTTGATCACAGGGACTACATGGTGACAAAGCCATAGTCACCATCTGGCCCTTTGTAGAAAGGGTCTGCCGACCCCTTCTCTGGGATTCCACCCTATTTTGTTTTTTCTTCATGAGATTTAACAGGACCTGCTATTTTCTCACCTAGTCATCGCTTGCATTTTCTGTTTCCAACACTCAATTCTTATTTCCACGAAGAAAGGAGCCTCTTCTTGTTCACTGTGCCTACAGTTCTTGGAGCCATGCCAAGCACACACTAGGTGCTTCATAAGCAGCTCGGCATGGTTCCAAGCAGCTCCCAAGGCCCGCCATGCATGACTCAGCTCTCACCTCTGCAGAGGAAGAGGTGAGAGCTGGTCCCACCACCACCACTTCACACAGGCGTTCAGGCACACACAGCACGCCTGGGCCCGAGCTGATCACACCCACAGTGTTTCTGGGTCACCGAGCTGCCGTTCTAAGCCTGGGCACCTGCAGGAAGCCAGAGTGGGGCCCCAGTGCGGGGCCTGGATGCATGGTGCAAGAGGGGAGGCTGTGCCCCTCAAGTCCCGTGCCACTTGTCCCTGCAGATCACAAGTGTCCTGAGAAGTGCTGCCCACACCGCCTTATGTAAGAACTGCTATTTTTAGGTTGCTGATCTTGGCTGTATACTGCAAACCTAGGGGATTATCAGTGACAGCCCTGGCCTGTCCCGCCATAACTGATCACTGAGTACCAGGCTGATGAACAGTTTGACAAAACCAGAACTGCATTCCACAAAGAGCAGTAAATGCACAGCAGAGATAACCAAAATGCCTACCAGCAAGGAAAAGGGTAAAAACCCTAGGCTACTCACGCAATGAGAGATACTGATTAATGTGGTCTGACAGCAAACAACAAACACTGATGGAAAATCGCAACCTGTAGAATCTTGTTTGTAAAGTGATACCACTTACACAGGAATTATATAACATTCTGGAAGTGTTCAAGAACTATATCTATGAATAAAAATAAGAGGAAGGCCAGGCAGTGTCTCACGCCTGTTATCCCAGCACTTTGGGAGGCTGAGGCAGGCGGATCACCTGAGGCCAGGAGTTCAAGACCAGCCTGGTCAACATGGTGAAACCTCATCTCTACTAAAAATACAAAAATTAGCCGGGTGTGGTGGTGAGTGTCTGTAATCCCAGCTACTCGGGAGGCTGAGGCAGAAGAATCGCTTGAACCAGGGAGGTGGAGGTTGCAGTGAGCTGAGATTGTGCAATTGCATTTCAGCCAGCCTGGGTGACAGAGTGAGACTCCATCTCAAAAAAGAAAAGCGGCGGGGGAGGGGGGAAACAAAATAGAAAATAAATAACAAGTGTTGGTGAGGATGTGCAGAAAACCTGGAACCTGTGCACTGCTGATGAGAATACAAGCCGGGTACAGCCTCTGTGGAAAACAGTACGGAAGTTCCTTCGAAAGTTAAAAACAGAACTACCATCTGATCCAGCAATGCTACTTCTGGATATATATCCAAATTGAAAGCAGGGACTAAAGTAAATAAATATCTGCTTTCCCATGTTCATACAGCATCATTCACAATAGCCAAGAGGTGGAAGTAACTCAAACGTCTATCAGTGGGAGAATGGATGAACAAAATGTGTAACATACGTACCATGGAATACCATTCAGCCTCGGAAAGGAAGGAAATTCTGACGCATGCTACAACACAAATGAGCCCTGAGGACATCATGCTAAGTGAAGCCAGCCTGTCACAAAAGGACAAGTACTGTAATGACTTCTATGAGATACTCAAAATGCTCAAATAGAATGGAGGTTGACAGGGGCTGCTGGAAGGGAAATGGGGAGGTTGTCTGGGTATGGAGTTTCAGTGTCAAATGATTAAACAGTTTTAGAGGTCAGGCATGGTGGCTCATGCCTTTAATCCCAGCCCTTTGGGAGGCTGAGGTGGGCGGATGACTTGAGGTCAGGAGTTCAAGACCAGCCTGGCCAATATGGTGAAACCCTGTCTCTACTAAAAATACAAAAATTAGCTGGGGATGGTGGCACATACCTGTAGTCCCAGCTAGTCAGGATGCTAAGGCAGGACAATTGCTTAAACTTGGGAGGCGGAGGTTGCAGTGAGCCGAGATCACGCCACTGCACTCCAACCTGGGCGTCGCAGTGAGACTCTGTCTCGGGGGAAAAAAAAAGTTTTAGAGATCTGTTTCACAACAATGGGAATATATTTAACACTACTGAATTGTACACTTGAAAGTGGTTAGGAAGAAAAAAAAAAAGATACGGGAGAAAGTGGCCTGGGGAGAGGCCCTAGATGCAGCCAGGAATGGGGGACTCAGATTGGATTTCACCTTTGTCTATAATGTTTCATTTTTTTAATTAGAAAAAGGCAGCAGTAAACATGACTGAAATCTGAATGCCTGTCAATTTCAAGAAATGGGAACATGCGTTTCTTCTTCTAATTTTAAAGTCCTCAAAAAGAAAAGAATTACAGGCCAGTGTCTAGATCGAGTCCTGGGCTCCGTGGTTTGGGGGCCGCTGAGCAGGTCTCATGATGGGACACCTGGCTGGGCCTGGCAGGGTGACCGCATGGCATCCAGGCCTGGGCACCTGCCCGGGATGTCAGGAGCCCCGAAGAAGCAAGGCCACATGTGCTGAGAAGTCAGGCCACTGGCAAAACAGGACAAAAACCCCATCCTGAGACTGTAGACCAAAGCCTCACACATTCAGTGACCGAGGCAGGTGGGCTTTGTGCCCATAGAGCAGGTAGCCTCCCGTCAACCCTGGAAGCTCGCGGAGCTCGGGAGACTGAGGCCAGCCAAATGGGCAACATAGAGGAAGGGAAGGAGCAGCATCAGGCAGAAGAGAGCTGCAGGCAGGGCTGCCCAATCCACCCTGGACCCAGCCAGCAGATGGGAGAAGCCTATGACTCTATCTCTGCAGCCTTTGGAGGGAGTGCAGAACACTCAACATGGGACCCCGATGCTGCTCTACCCACCCCACGCCACCCCCACCCCCCGGCCGACCGGTGACTCACAGACTTCCTCTAGGCCCTTACAGCCCATGTCCAGTGGCTGGTGGCAAAATGTGAACCAGGAAGGGCAAGGAGGGGCATCTGGTGGCGATGAAAGGGGCTGGGCTCAGAGCTGACCCCATATTGGGGCAGCCAGAGGCTCACATGCACCCCACTTTGTGAACCTGCTGAGGGTCCCCCGTTGGGCAAGGGGCAGGGCAGACAACATCCTCCTGGGGGCTGCCCCGGCATGCTCACCCTCTCTTCGTGACCATAACTCCACATCCTAGTTTGACCTGGCCCGTAGGTTTCTCTTGACAAATACAGCAGCCCAGAGTTAGATGGGAAATGCTTCTTTTTTTTTTTTATTGAGACATCGTTTTTGTCTTGCTTTGTTGCCCAGGCTGAAGTGCAGTGGCGCAATCAGGGCTCACTGTAGCCTCGAACTCCAGGGCTCAAGAAAGCCTCCCACCTCCCCCTCCCAAGTAGCTGGGACCACAGGCATGCACTACCATGCCTGGCTAATTTTTAAATTTGTTGAAGAGGCGAGAGTTTACCATGTTGCTTAGATAGGTCTTGAACTCCTGGCCTCAAGCACTCCTCCCTCCTTAGCCTCCCAAAGTGTTGGGATCACAGTATGAGCCACTGAGCCCAGCTGGGAATCCTCTTTTATCATTCTCACCAGGGAAATGAGCCTCCCTCCCTTAGCACAGGGGAGGAGAAAGCTGAGCCCCGAACCTGCTCATTTGGGGTTGGCCTGCCTTGGGAAGATGTTGGCGACAGAGCTTCCTGGCAGCCTCTGGGCCTCAGATAGTGCCTGTGCTGGCCCCAGTGTGGCCCTAGGGCTGCTGGTAGATGGGAGGCCTCGGCACAGGGTCAGTAAAACTTGGAGACCCAGCGACGAACAGACCCGTGTCCTTCTTTGAGGGTTCAGAGGCGTAGGGGCTCTCAGGCTCAGTGATCCCACTGCCTGCAGAGGGGCTGGAGGTGCTCACAGGAGCACGGCAGCTTGGGAGCCACATCCTGAGAGCCACCGCGTGCCTGCAGAAGCCACGAAGCCAGGTTCTGTAAGTGGCAGCCCGGGTGTGATACGTGATCAACAGCAGGGGCTGGAGCGCTACACCAAACCTGAGCCACTGCCAGCTTTTCTAAGTCCAATTTTACCGAAAGACAGCCATGTGGGACAGAGTCGCTATGGCTGGCAAAACCGAAACTATTCGCTACCAGCTTTTGACAGAAGTTTGCCAACCCCTGATCTACACAATGCCACGTTGTAAAATGCGTAACGCACACACTGCAGGGCACGCTGAACAGGCTACGCAGCCCTGCCCGATGGGAGTCGCCTGTCCTTTCCCCTACTCGGTGAGAGATGTGTGGGGCTCCAATATGGTAGCCCGGGAAATTAGGAGCTGGGCAGGGGGTAGCGGGGCAGGGGTGGAGGGCTGTAACTCTTTCACCTTGGGTTACACATGGGGACACTGCTCAGGGACGTGTAGGGCCAGGGTTGCTAAGGGAATTAGAGTTCTGGGGGCAGCTCAGCCCTTTGGACTTTCCCTTGACTTCCAGATCGGGGTCCACCTTCCCTGCAGGGACCTGGGCCCCACGAAGGCCCACCCTGCTTCCAAGCCTGCCTGATTTCATTTTCCAAGTATTTTTGAGACCTTCTGTGTGCCAGACACTTTGCGAGGTTACAGTAGGGAGCTGGGGACCAGGCCCTTCAGGAATGCACACTTCCTCCCAGTGAGACTAGAAGAACATTAACAAGGTCTTTTCTGAGCGCCAGTGCTAAACGTGGTGAAGAAAAAGACTGGTGTGCCCGGCAGGGCCGGGGCTAAGGTGACAGTGGAGGTCAGGGAAGGCCTTGGGAGGAAGTGACCTCACTCCAGCCTGAAGAAGCCAGCCTTGCAAAGACCTAGGGGCAGAGTTCCAGTCCTGGGGAGCAGCTCAAGGTGGAGTGGGTGAAGTCAGGCCACAGAGGAGGGAGCGATGGGGCTATGGGGACAGATGAAGTCGCAGGGCTGGCAGGGGCCATCCTGCAGACTTCAAGCCTCCTCTCCCTCCAGAGGGGCCGCCCCTTGGCTCTGCCTAGCCCTGTGATTCCTGGAAGGCCCTCCTCCGGGAAGAGACCGGTAATAGGAAAAACAAAGCAAAACAAAACTGGAAGCGCCTCCAACGGAGTGCTTAGCGCTCACCAGGCTCAAAGTTAAGCATATCACGTGCATTATTTCACTTAATCCTCACAAAAGCCCCCTTGGGGAAGGTACTTCCATCATATCAAAGTCCCTCCCCAAAGTCCCTGCTGAGTGATCAGGAAGCCCGGTTCCAAAATAGCTATGAGCTGCGGAAGGCTGCACTCAACCAGAGACCAAATCAGAACTCCAGAAATCACAGTCCGGCGGGTGTTGCCTGTGCTCCAAATGCCTGATGTTCACCCTGTCGCAGGCAGGTCCCTCAGCTTGGCTGGGCTGTCCTACCCTCCAGGCCACACCAGCCAAGCCCCCTTCCTTCCTCAGGTGGGCTGGACTGGGTAGGTCCCTTAGCTCTCCCCGGGCGCCTGGCCTGTGTCTTGGCAGCCCTGATGGCTGACGTGTGCAGGGACGAAGGCCGAAGTCAGACTCACCTCGGCTCACACAGACTCCACTGGGAATGAAGCTGTGCAGAGGATGATCCCAGCGCATTAGGGGACTACTTCCCCACCCACCTCCTTGGCCTCTGACCCTCTCTGGCCAGGAGATACCAGCTGTGTTCAATTTCCAAAGGGGTGCTCCCTTTGGGCTGCAGAGACCAAGTTTCAGGGTGACTCGGAACCTCTGCTTTCCCACTTGCAAAGGGGCTGACCACACCTCCACCCTACACAACCCGTCTGGTGTTGGGGAAGCCAGAAAGGAGGAGATTCCAGGCCGCCTCTCTCTGCGGGTCTGCTCAATAGTTTCCTCTCTGCGACTGCAACCATGCCCGAATCTGTTTCCCTTGACAGCTCCCACCAAGAGTCACAAACTCAACTGCTCCAGAGGAACTGGGACCCCAACGCCCCCTCCCCGGCGCCCTGAAAGTGTTGATCCACTCACAACACCTCCCTGCCCAGGGGGATATTGGTCCCATCCAGGCCTCCAGACTGCAGACTGGGACCGAGAAGAGAGGCCTGGCGGCCGCACGACACCAAAACTCCTGGAAACACCACCGGCAACCGGGCTTACTGAGACCCCTGCAGCCCCGGGGGGCCCGCGAACCCCTCACCCCCCGCCAGCTTACACCTGCGCGTTTCCACGGGGACTCCGCCTCGGCCTCTCTGGCCCCTGCCCGCTCTCCCTCGCTCTCCCCAGGCTCCCTACCGCGCCCACCCCGCAAGCCGCTCAGGAGCGCCCTTCCCCGGCCTCTTCTCGGGCCGGAGTCCGCGGCGCCGCGCCCCGCCCGCCCGGGAGCCACCCAGACGGTGCGGCCGGAGGGAACTCGCCTGCCCCGGGGGGGGGGATGGAGGGACTCGCCTCCTGGGACCGCCCCGCGCCCCGCAGCCCGGCCGGAGGACGGTGGAGAACTCACCTGCAGCGCTGGACCCGCGCCCGGAGCCCCGAAGCCACCCCGCGAATCCGCGCCGCCGCCGCCTCCCGCCCGCCCTTGGCCACCCGGCGCTACTCAGGTCCCCGCCCACTCCCAGCCGGACACTCCCCTGAGGCGGCTAGGCCAATCGGAGCCCGGGGCACGGGAGGGGCGGGGACTGGGCGGGGCTGACGCTCGTGTTTGTCCCCCCCCCGGCCCCGCCCCGCTACCCTTTCGGCCAGCTGCGGCCGCACGCGGAGTGCGGCGTCTGTCCCCCGCTGGGACTGCGAGCCTGGCTCTGGGCGGGGCTGGGGCGGGGGCGCCGGCGACTGCGAGGCCTGCGGGGCTCGGCGGGGAAGGGGGCGGTGGGAGACTTGTGCCTTCTGGTGCCTCCGGAGGGCCTCACCACAGTCACCCGCAGCGGTCGTAATATGAAAATGCGGCAGAACTTTATGGACTTTTTTTTTTTTTGAGACCGGATCTCCCTCTGTCGCCCAGGCTCGAGTGCAGTGGCGCGATTACGGCTCACTGCAGCCTGCACAGAAATCATCCTGACCCCAGGAGAATTAGCCCGCCAGGACCGGCTACTTTTTGTATTTTTGTAGAGAGGAGGGTCTCACTATGTTTACCAGGCTGGTCTCGAACCCCTGAGCTCAGGCGATCCTCCGGCTTGGCCTACTTAAGTGCTGGGATTTCAGCAGCGAGTCACCGCACCTGGCCTATTCTTTTCAATTTTTTATAGTGGAAAATTTCAAACTGAAGGAAAGAAAATAGTCCAGGGGACCCTGGTGCCCATCACGCAGCTCCAGCACTAGCAGCAGGTTCTGTCACCCCTGACCCAACCGCACCGGAGCCTCCTGTGCGACTCAGAAGGAAATGCCCGGGCTTCAGCGCCCCAGGCCTCCCTGGCTCTTCCTGGCCTCCTCCCCACTGGTTGTCTCAAATGGGCTTCTTCCTGTTCCTTAAAGACCCAGGCCTCAAACTGTCACCTCCTCAGGGAGGCTGCCCTGGCCACTCACAGCGGTTCCCTGTCTCCACCCCATCTCCCTTCACAGTCACCCGTGTTTGTGACTTTGCAAAGCGTCTCTCCCAACCCGGAGTCCTCTCCTGAGGAGGTTCAGGGCTGCCTCCCAGGCTGTGGCTTCTGTGGAATGCTCATAAACAAGTCATGCTGGTGGCTTGCCTCCCACCCAGGCTGTGAGTCCCACGGGCCAGATGATAATTTCTTCTCATTCAGACAGGACTTTCTTCTCGTTCACCGCTGCAACCCGAGTGCTGAGAACGGGCAGCTCACAGAGAAATGCACTGTCACATAGATGCAGGTTGTCTTGCCAAATAGAACCCCACCTGGGCACCCCAGGGGGCTGGCTCAGGCCGGGGTAGTGCCTGTGGGGCCAGGATAGGGTGGGAGGGGAGCAGAGCAGGAGGAGGGCTGATGGGCTGCAGGGCCATGGGGATGCAGCTAGAAAAGGTGCCTGCTCTCCTGGCAGGGTATGGGCGAGGCTGTGAGGTGGGCCCAGTGCTGGTGACTGGCCTCTCCCAGCTGAAAAGGGAAGGGACAGGGAGCAAGGGAGGGAAGGAGGAAGAGGGAACGGACAGGCAAGTGAGAGGGCCACCAGCAGTGGCCTTGGGGAACCCCCCTCCCCACCACCACCTCACGGAACCCACCTGCTACCATTGTCCTCATCAGCAAGGACACCATTTATGAGATTCAACAGAAGCCACCACCTGGTAAGTAACCCTGAACCCCACTAGACCTGAATGATGTCTGTTGGCTTTCAAAGTGCTTAAACCTTTTAAAAATGCATTGCTGTGAACATTACATATGGGGAGAGTTCACATAAAAATCAGGATCTTCAGCTTCTCTTAAATCAGAAGATTTGAGAGTGTGGGTCCTCTTTAGAGGGGCCCTGTGTTCTGCCCTCCACACTGGTCCCCACACTCCCTCCGCTTTCCCCCTTGGGATGCTTTACCCGCTTTTGTACCTCCAGTTGAATATGCGTTTGGGTTCACAAGTTCTGAAGGTGCAGCCAGGCCGCCACACCACAGAGCAGAATACACAAGATCTGAGATCCCACAAGCTGAGTCATAACCAGGAGGGTCACTGGTGCCATTGGGATGCTGGGAAACGCCACCTCGAGTGTACGCACACTGCTTGTCACCAGCGGGTGGAGGGGGACTTCAAGCTGAGCCTTCAAGGCTGCAATCCATGACTGCTCAGTGCCAGGTCTACCACCTCCCTGGCAAGGGGCTGCTTCTCATGGGGGGTTGGCCCTGGCTGGAGTGGAGGTGGCCGTGAGACTCGGAAGGAAGCCCGTTCCCTGGGAAGGCAGGGCTGTCTCGTTTATGATGGTGTCCTGGCATCTAACACCATGCCTGCACAGAGGAGGCCTTGGGAGAGGGAAGCCTTTTCATGACTGGGAAACTAGAGGGAGGATGCACATGTGTTGGTCCCCCAATCAGGAGAACCCTCCTAGCCTTGTCCTGCTGGTGGCCCAAGGTCCACTTGGACCATGGTCTCCTCATCTGTCCTTCCTTCCAGCTTTGGATGTGAGTGGTGCTCTGAGAAACCCCTGGAGGCAGCACACGCTGGTCTCCCAGCTGTCCACCCACTTCTCAGCGGTGCTGGCTGTGCGTGGGGACAGCTGGGTGAAGGGTGGAGGGCCTCGCTCCTCCAAATAAGAGAGGAAAAACTTGTGACTCAGGGGCAGGCAGAAGTTGAGTCAGCGAAGCCACAAGCTGTGGAAAGAATGAGTTTTCTCCAAGGCTTTTGCACTCCTTGGGAAAGAAACCCTTTCGGAGGAAAAGCTGGCTTCCAGACTGCGGGAACCCGGGTTTCAGGAAAGCAGCGGGCTCTGGATTTTCAAGTTAGGGATTCTGGCAACCATCTCTGTGCTCAATGCCAGGAATTTTTTTTGGATCGTTTATTAAGTTTTACCTACATGCCAAGTGCTGTGTGCTAAACAGTGTATGTTATCTTATCTCTTCCCACACTAAGCTATCATTCCCAACTTGCAGTTTAAGAAACTGAAATAGGCACTGAAATATTTAGGGGTGAAAACAGACGTTCCATCCAGAGAAAGAGAAAGCAAATGAAGCAGTATATTAACAATTGGTAAATAGGGGTCAGGAGTTTTCTTTTTCTGTAAAGGGCCAATTGCTAAGTATTTTGGGCTGTGAGATCCAGGATCTCTGTGGCAATTATTCAACTCCAACTATTGAACTGCACCATTGCAAGGCAAAAGTAGCCACAGACAGTACTTAAACGAGTGGCTTAACGTCATGGACAGTGGTGTTGGAATTTCATATAATTTTCATGTGCTATGAAAAATTCTTTTTAAATTTATTTTCCAACCATTTACAAAAGTTAAAAACCATTCTTAGCTCATACAAAACCAGGCTGTGGGCTGAAGCTGACCAATCTCTGATCTCTGGCTATTCGTTGAACTTTTCTTACAACGGTTCTGATGGCTTAAAAGTTTTCAAAACAAAAGGCTGGGAAAACAAATTAAAAAAGAAAAAAAGGAAACAGAGGTCCTAGTCTTTAGATTGGGCAGATCTTGAAACTGGCTCTAAATTTGTGTCATTCCCAAACTACTATGTGCTGCATTCTTTTCAAAAAATTATTTTTATTTTATTTCAATTTATTTATGTATTCGAGATGAGGTCTTGTTCTGTCACTCGGTAGTGCAGTGGCACAATCATGGCTCACTGCAGCTTTGACCTCGTGAACTCAAGCGATCCTCTTGCCTCAGCCTCCTGAATAACTGGGACTAAGGGCTCACGTGACTGCACCCAACTAACCTTTTAAATTTTGGGTAGAGATGTTGGGGAGAGAGTGGCCTATGTTGTTCAGGCTGGTCTTGAACACCTGACCTCAAGTGATTCTCCCATCTTTACCTCCCAAAGTGGTGGAACTACAGGCATGCACCATCGCACCTGGCTAATTTAAAACATGTTTTGTAGAGACCAGGTCTGACTATGTTGGCCACGCTGGTCTCAAACACCTGGGTTCCAGTGATCCTCCTGTCTTAGTCTCCCAAAGTGCTGAGACTACAGGTGTGAGCCGCCACAGCTAGCCTAAATGCTGCTTTCTTTATCAATGCAGTAACACACCGAAGACGCCGCGTCTCAAAGCTATACAATGTGAGGCATTTTGAAAAGATCTCTACTGCAATGGTTAAGAACATCAGTTTTTTGGCCGGGCACGGTGGCTCACGCCTGTAATCCCAGCACTTTGGGAGGCCGAGGCGGTTGGATCACAAGGTCAAGAGATCGAGACCATCCTGGTCAACATGGTGAAACCCCGTCTCTACTAAAAATACAAAAAATTAGCTGGGCATGATGGCATGTGCCTGTAATCCCAGCTACTCAGGAGGCTGAGGCAGGAGAATTGCTTGAACCCAGGAGGCGGAGGTTGCGGTGAGCCGAGATCGCGCCATTGCACTCCAGCCTGGGTAACAAGAGTGAAACTCCGTCTCAAAAAAAAAAGAACATTAGTTTTTTTATTTTGTTTTTTTGAGACGGAATCTCGCTGTGTCACCCAGGCTCGAGTGCCCTTCTCCCACCACGCAAGACTTCAATCTCTAGACAGCTTTTAAGCCTCTAGATTCCCCACCTTTCTGCTTCCCCGCCTTTGCTTTCTGCCTCCCCACCCCTCACTCTGTCCACTCCAGCTGATGGGAGAGCTTTCATACACCCTGTCTTCACATCTTAGGGACGTTTTCTTCCTTCCTTCCTTTCTTTCTTTCCTCTCTCTCTCCCTCTCTTTCCTTCTTTCTTTCAAGATGGGATTTCACCACGATGGCCAGGCTGGTCTTGAACTCCTGACCTCAGGTGATCCAGCCACCTCGGCCTCCCAAAGTGCTAGGATTACAGGTGTGAGCCACTGCACCCGGCCCAGGGACGTTTTCTTTTTCTTTTTTTTTTTTTTTGAGACGGAGTTTCGCTCTTGTTACCCAGGCTGGAGTGCAATGGCGCGATCTGTGCTCACCGCAACCTCCGC